GGATTGCGAAGGGTGCGGGTTCGAGTCCCGTCTGCTGCCTGGTCTGCGTGGATTTTTTTCTAGTTATATTTTCTTTAGATTAAACATCAAGCAATTACATGCTTAAAAAATAAAAATTATAAAAAAATATAAATAATATTATTTCTTTTTTACCCCATGATTTTTTATTTTCAATAACAAATAACTGCCTGGTCCGCGTGGAATTTTTTCTAGTTATATTTTCTTTAGATTTAAACATCAAGCAGTTACATGCTTTAAAAATAATAAAAATTATAACAGTAATATTTTTATCAATATTTTTCCACTTATTCCGCAAAACCTCTAAGGAATTATACCTTGCTTGTTTATTTTTATATAATGGGTTAGACATATCCCAAAGGCATGGCAAGACATATATCTAAAATCTCCTCCATTACTTCCCGTTCAGATCGAATAGACATAATATTGTCGTCATGTTGCTCCATCTTCTTCTCAAAAGACAAGTCAACGCACACACCCGCTCTGAACTCCGCTTGCACAGTTAAAAAATTGGCTAGTTAGCGTCCACACCACCCAATTTGATTGGGCAATCCTGAATCGGGCGATACCGACCATCCAATGACCTTCAATTTCATATTTCCGTCCACACAATTCGATTGTCAATCTAATCATATTGGAGGTAAAATTGTATCGTGTGGAAGCCACTTTACGTGTATAAAGTATGCCTGATTTTTTTCGGATTTTTTGAAGTATTTTTTTTATGTATTTATTTATAATTTCTGTATTTTTATGTCATTTCCTCTGTTCGAGTAGTTATTCATTTTAAACAAGTATACTTATATATCCGGTAAAAACAACTAATAAATAAGCATTTCTAAAAAACGAAAAAACAGTAAAATTAACCGCGGGTCAACGATCGACCGCGCCCGCCAGCCGTTGAGTGAGTAGGTACACAGAGCTCAGCTGACTCCTTTGATTCCACACAATACAATAAAATCATCTTAGATGCCTTTATTGAAATAATAAGCACAAATGTTATCTTCTCTTAAGCAGAGAAAAACTTAAAAAGTGAATAATAATTTTGTCACGATTGGCAATAGGCAAATGTTAAACAAAAGAAATACTTATTGCAGTTCAATACTTGGGTCAGAATGAAATTCATAACGAGGTATTCAAAATACTTACGAGACCAATGTACCTATTCATTTTTTTCACTATAATTTCCTGTATACACTTTGTAAACAGAATCAATCACCAAAGCTACTTTCGTAAAGCCTTGTTCTGCTGAGTATTCACACCATATTCAAAGGCTTATATTTAGGCCACAGAACAAGAACTAATCAAGGCATTGTTTGCTAATCTTGTCTTGTCACTAATTTAAAAGAATACGCATGCGCGGTGTAGACTTGAGACTCCGCTCGCTCACTGCGCTGTGCACCGCGCATAGGTAGGTACGAAGGTATACAACGGCGGGAGCGGTTAATGCTCCCGGCCGCCCGTCTCCTGTTTTAGGTTTTTTTGAAGTAGTGCTTATTACTTGTTTTTTGTTTACTCTGTATGCGTGTTTAAAAAGAATAATTATTTAGTAGCCAAAAGGAGGGAAGGACTTAAAATATAACAAAAAAAAACAAAATTTTATTTCATATAATTTTTAAAAAATCCGAAAAAAATCAGGGATATTCTATATTGTTGAAGTTATGACGACCTCCGTGGTCGAGTGGTTTGTACGCCGGGTTTCATGGTGTCGCCGACTCGAGAGGTCCCGGGTTCGAATCCCGGTGGGGGCAAATGTTTGTGTGATGAATACGAGCATTTGTACTCCAGTCATGGATGTTTAATATGTATTTCTATATAAATATACTTATATATGTTCAAGGAGCTCGATGGCGCGGGTGGTTAGCGCGTTCGGCTGCGATCGTTGAAGTAATTCAACTTTCGCAGTGGTCGATCATTGGATGGGTGACCAAAAATCTTCTATCTCGAGTTCCTCCGTGCTTCGGAAGGCACGTTAAGCCGTTGGTCCCGGCTGCATCTGCAGTCGTTAGCACCCGCCAATTCGCACTGGGCCTGCGTGGTGGGTCATGGCCCAATCTGCCTATTCCATCCATAGGGAAGGCCTGTGCCCCAGCAGTGGGGACATTAATAGGCTGATGATGATGATGATATATGTACAGTATATGTATTCTATCCGTTAACCTAGCATCCCATAACACAAGCCTTACAGTGCTTACTTTGGGGCTAGGCTAATTGGTGTGAGGGTCGGAAATATTTATTTATTTATTTATGATTTTATGTAAAACCTTCTTGTTAGTGCGACTCGATGGCCTGTTCTCTATGTCACCGTTACTTCATACTAGGACTTTGCTAAATACGTCAACGGTGTATACCAAGTGTATACCTATAAAAATGTAAAGTGTGATTGCGACTACATAAACTAAATATTACGAGCTGATTGTCTTTCCTTTCTACGATCCACTTCATCAACATATATACGTAACCCAACATTCCCAAGAAGTTTCATTAAAACATTTAATTTCACCCTATATACGCAATATACGGTCGACGATATTCTATACTATGCCATCTCCATGTTTAAGTACTCAGAGCAATGGCGGGATTTCATCGTGTCCGTGATGCTAGCGTACCCACGATCAATATACGGTTTTTCGTTATGCCATTAAATAGTGCGTAAATAGTGCCAAATTAGTGTAAAAATAATAAAAATAGTGCCTCTTTAATTTAGGAAATTAATACCATTTTTACTGTGTACGCTACCATGACGTCAAGCTAGCGTACCCATGGCCGACCCCAAGAACGGCATATATTTAAGCAACGAAATTGACACACAAAAATAGTTCGCAAATAGTGCCCTGGCTTTACAAAATTTCATAATCAATACTCTTAAAGGACCAAAGATATTGAACTAAACATTCTTAGCTGGCGTCAACCTGGCGTACCCATAATAGTTCTCATAGAAAATAAACTTTTCTCGTTATCAATTCTATATGTATAAATAGTGTGTCAAATAGTGCCTCTAACAGTAAAAGTGTTTTATGTGAATCCGCATCACAACAATACATAAAGAGGGTGTTAAATTCTAGGAACAAATGTATTGTAGTACAGTTACACACAAAATTAATTTATGCACTAAGAGATTATCTATATATGTATTTTTACTAAAATAAATAGGTACTTTTTATAAAAAGATACTGATGTCGATTCTGGCATGATTCTCTAAAGCTAAACTTAAATTTGACAACAGTGCATCCTTGTCCTTCTCTATACAGAAGGAAAGGGTGAGACTGACCTTAAATTTAGTTTTAAGTTTACAAAATCACGCCAGAATTGACACCATTATATTTCAATTCGAATTCACCAATCATAAATTCATATAAGAATTTCAACCTACCTACCTACTAAGTACCTTACTTACCTACTATACCACGAAAATATTATCACTTCTGTACATGACTGTACTTCATATATAAAAATAATTTAATTGCTTTTTTTATATTGTTTTACTGCGAATTAACATAAAATACTTTTACTGTTAGAGGCACTATTTGACACACTATTTATACATATAGAATTGATAACGAGAAAAGTTTATTTTCTATGAGAACTATTATGGGTACGCCAGGTTGACGCCAGCTAAGAATGTTTAGTTCAATATCTTTGGTCCTTTAAGAGTATTGATTATGAAATTTTGTAAAGCCAGCGCACTATTTGCGAACTATTTTTGTGTGTCAATTTTGTTGCTTAAATATATGCCGTTCTTGGGGTCGGCCATGGGTACGCTAGCTTGACGTCATGGTAGCGTACACAATAAAAATGGTCTTTATTTCTTAAATTAAAGAGGCACTATTTTTTTTATTTTTACACTAATTTGGCACTATTTACGCAGTATTTAATGGCATAACGAAAAACCGTATATTGATCATGGGTACGCTAGCATCACGGACACGATTTCATCGAGTGCGGTTGGCGTCATATTTTAATTATTCTTAAAATTCGTTCATATTGAATATTGTGAAATAAGATTGGTATAATTTTGACTTCTGTGTGTTTTAACCGTAAAACATCAAAATGCGTTACACTATAGTCACATCCTATTAATGCCGCAAAAATGGGAAAAATGTTAAAGACACAAAAATCTTAACTCTGTTTGGACACAATATCTTTTGCTTTCCCATAAAGGGAAAAGAATATTACTAAAAAGAAAGTAGTTTTTGGCGCGATTTCTTCGGGTGCGGTTGGCATCATATTTCAATTATTCTTTAAATTCTGTCATAGAGGATATTGTGAAATAAAATTGGTGTGATATTGTGTTACAATCGTCAGCGCAACTGAGGAATTAACGGAATCTTTAAAATATTCGCTGTGTCGGTCAATTGGATGTGAGAACTTTATTGTAGTGTTTACTACCTCGCAGAAGCTTGTCGAGAAAGCTGACTCGATTCATTTTGTGCCAAACACTCCACGAAACATTAGAATGCGTCACACCCACATTCTAATGGATTAAGTTTAATACAAAAATAAGACGATGGCTGTATGGCTTTGCCTTTGCCATTTCCAATAGGGAAGAATGGAACTAAAAAAAAATATTTGGCGGGATTTCATTGAGTGCGGTTGGCGACTTATTTTAATTATTTTTAAATTCGTTCATAGTGAATATTGTGAAATAAAATTAGTGTCATTTTGTATTACAACCGTCTACGTCATTGAAGAATTACTGGAATCTCTAAAATATACGCATTACACTATATTGACTATATTTCGTGCCAAACACTTCAAGAAACATTAAAATGCGTTACTCCGATGACATTCTAATGTAAAAAGAAAAAGAAGATTAATGTAACTAAAGACCAGGTTGTATGGACATTGTTCCCTTTGCTTTCCTTAATGCGGGAGAATCTTAAAAAAGTACTACTACTACGTGTCAATGTCAACCTGTCGAAGGTTCTTTATGGAGATAGAGAAATTATTCGGTATTTGTAACAATTTAGAATGAATGCTAACCATAAAAAAAATAGTCAGTTTTTATATACTTGTTGGCATTGCTTCTTAGTATTTGAATTTATCGAACAATCAATAGTGGTTGAAGATGAAACAAGATGATGAAGATGTACACAAAGCATATTATAAAAATGATCACATTTTATCCGTTTTATTATGTGCTATTTCTATACCTTTATCAATGTCCATGTGGATATTGAATATCATCTATTCAAAATTTTTACGAGATAGTGAAGGGCACGATGGTATAGTCAAATTAAGTCTATTAAAATTGCAATAACCCCATTGCTAATGTATTGTTTACCACCTGATACATTCTAAACTATGTTTCAGAACCAGTTGTAATATCGCCAGCGAGATGGATGGCATCATGCTTTATACCTCTAGCAATGACAGTTTATGGCTATAAAAGGAAAAGTCTAAATTGTAGTGGTGCTTTTCTTGGTTTTGGTGTGGGATTAGTACTCACACTAAGCAGCTACTGTTTCTTGGCAGCTCTTTTTACATTCTTTATAACATCATCAAGGGCAACGAAAGTAGGTTTTCGCATTAAGAAAAAGATTGAAGAAGAATTTAAGGAAGGTCTGCTGATACTAGAACATGTTTTTGTTGCATACCTTAAAGGTTATGATTAAGTTCAAAGAAAAAGATATATTTTCATTTTAAGGTGGTCAAAGAAATTGGATACAAGTACTCTGTAATGGAGGAATGGCAACTCAACTAGGGCTCCTGTACTTATTGGATGTTGGTGCCTCTGAAAGACCAATAGATTTCATCAAAGACTATAGAGCTTCTTGGCTCTCTGTAGGTGTACTTGGTAAGTCATTGCATCATTAACTTGCAATGAATTAGATTAACATAGAAATAGTTACTTTTGTAGAATAAAATTTTATTTTTATTTAATTAGACTTATCTTAGGTAATGTTTTTAAATTTTATATTTTAAAATTGTTTGAATTTTTAACTTTTTTTTAATGACCAAAGGTAAACAAAAACTACCTCTCGATTCCCATGCAATGAATCACTAAAGGGTTAAATACTCAACACATTAATTTGCATTCCTAGGGGTTGGACATATTAATTCACTATCTTTTATAGCACTCATTTCTTTATTAATTTATGAAAAAAGATAAATAAAAACTTGAGTTATGACTATATATACTAGAACATGGGAATTTCAATTGATGTTAATAATCAAAATAGTGAATCAATAAACTAAATGGTTATGGGTTAAAAAATCATCAATCATCTCATTTTTATCAGTAATTAATAAACATATGCAAAATTTATTTGTTTGATATACTTTGGTTATTTATTTTTTATATTATAATAAATACAACTATTCACATTTGAATAATAAACATAAAAGTTGACTACTGTTGAATGAAGTAACTAAAGAGAATGCAGGACATTGAAAAGTATGATGCTGCCTAGATATTTAATAAAGAATGCAAACCAATTGTTCGAAAAGAGTTTTATTAAGTAACGAAATATAGTTAGCTATATTGCCAAATACAGTTTACAGCCAAAGCTCGTTTTTGAGAAATGACGATAAAAAAATATTAATGTTACAAATTATGCATTATATAGATTTTTAACAATTTCTAAGAATATGATCATTCAATTGTGCAATTGATGGCTCTATAAATTCCCAACACTAAACTGTCTATGATTAGACTTGCCTACCTGTTTGTTTACTTTTGGTCTAAATTATGTTGAAACAGACTATAACATGTATAAAAGTAACTTAATATTATAATAATTCTTACTTATACTTTTCAGGTGTATTTGCATGTAGCAATGGTGATACTTGGGCATCAGAATTGGGTACTGTTTATGCAAATTCAGAGCCATTCTTGGTAACATCTTGGAAAAGAGTTCCAAAAGGAACCAATGGTGGAGTTTCTCTTATAGGAACATTCTTCAGTACACTTGGAGGTCTTATCATTGGTTTATCTTACTATTTGGCAATATTTTATTTCTCTGAAAAGGCATTGTGGGCTAATTCGCCCCCTCAATGGCCAGTAATTGTATTTGGAGGGCTAGCTGGGTTCCTTGGCAGCATGATAGATTCCTTAATGGGAGCAACATTTCAATATTCAGGTATCTATCTTTCTATGTCTCACAAAAACTATTATATTTTTTTACGTAGTCATGTAAACAGAAATTACTGAAATGATACTTTTTTTTTCAGGTTTAGATAAAAATGGAAAGATAGTATCACATTCCAGTTTAACTGTCAAACATATTAGCGGAAGAAACATTCTTGATAATCATAGTGTCAATCTAATATCAACAGTTATTATGGGCATTCTTATGCCAACTATATGCAAATGTATGTGGCCTCTGTTTTAAATAGGAAAAAATAACAAAAGCAGAAATGTCATGTAATTAAAATTTTTTAGTATAATACCATAATGAACTGGATTTATTTATGAGTACTTAGCTGTTTCTTATTTGTTATTGTTTTTATATTTTTTTATTAAATTCTATTCTATCATGCATATCCCTTTATTAAAGTCGCCACACACAGACGCGGCAGAGCGGTGGTGCGTTTCGGTGCCTTCTGCCTGCCAAAATGCCTGTATAGCTTTTTTCAAGGTGGCACAAACTTCAAAGGTTGCCAAGAGTGTGTGCTTTGAAAATGAAACATAAGTTTCGCACACAACCCCAAGATTAAAACAAAAAGGGAAGATACGGTACGTTCATACTAGCATCAAATAAAATATGATCCGACTCTATGACTCTACTACTTCCAACTCTCGCACACGCACACTTGTATAAATAAACATTCAGTCATTCAATCATAGAGAAAGGTAAATATACCAAAACATTCAATCGAGCGAGCGAGACAGAACTAAGCTTACACAGCGCGAGCAAAACGGCGTGAGTTGAGTCCGCGACTCCGCGTCGCTTTGCAGCCGACTGAGTTTTCATTTCTGTCTCTACAGACGGCTGAGTTATATTGTTGTCCTTTTATCTTAACAATACAGAATATACGCAATGGTCATATTGAGTACACATTCATCGTGTTCGAATGTCTAATTGTGGTCATGCACCACAATTTAGCGTATCACTTTTGAGCCGCGAGTGGCGTAGGTATCTTCCCTTTTTGTTTAAAGCTGTCTGAAGCCCACAGACACAGGATCCGATGCGGATCCGCGCGCATCTATATGGGAAATGCGCGGATCAGCATCGGAGTCGCGCGTGAGAATTTTACAGAATAGGCCCGCTGACTTTCGTATTGCCAAACTAGAAGCGTCTATGACGTATCCACGGACTTGCAAAAAGACGGACGTACAGTTTGTCTATAAAGTCGTGACATTAAATGATGGCGCCACTTGTATGCATGTAGCAACCCTATACAGTCTGACCAAAATGATTTTGATACTACCAGTTCATTCAAGTAAAATAGGTAATTAATAAGACACACTATACAGTCTTATTTTTTGTTTGCTTATAAAAAGTTTAGCCAAGCATATTTAATTGAGTCAGAACAAAATTATTATAGATAAAATAGTACTTTATATTGTAAAAGTGTGTAATGTTGGTGATTACTGCTGAGGTGCCATTGAGACCAGTGTCATCAATACACACAAGTATCATCATACGACGTTTTTTAACACACTTGTTAAGATAATAATACTAAAAATCATTTTATAGTATATAAAAAGTTTATTTAGAGAAACAATTTGTAAATGTGCAGTTAGTAAAATTAGTGATAGGCATGGTTCTTTATGTGACCATTTCTTTCTTTGGTCGGGCTTGCCTGTTTTCCCAGGAGTTTCAAACTTTCCATCATTCTTAAAACCTTCGTTGACTATCCAACTGTCTGATTTTCCTGAAAAAAAGTAAAAAAAATATGTAACGGAATGAATAGAAACATTAACTTATTGACATGAAGCAATTAATTCAAAATTGGTAGAAAATCTGACCGAGTTGAACCATAATAACGTATCAAAAGAAATGGTCGTTCTACAATATTACCTATTTACAATGTCAATGTAACCTAAAAATGTGTAATGTAAACAATGCCTTTTTTGGTCTCAATATCGTAAATTGAGAAAATTTGTAACTTCAGGCAGATTACAAACAAATAGTTACACGGTAACATACCTGTCATAGATGCTGTTCGCCTATAAACATCATCCAAATCCCACAAAATTCGTCCAGCTTGGTAGTCTTCGAAATATCGCTGGAAAACTTTAAAAATCACTTCCCGCGTATCACTCCGATTTACCTACTTTACTCATTTTTATGCCTTTCTGCGTAGTTTCGTCTTAATTTATTACAGTTTAATCCAAACAATAAAAAATACAAAAGGAAAACTGTTCCACAACTGAAACTCGATGACAGCTGATGTACATAAGTTTGGTACTCTTTGACATATTTGGTAGGTCAGGGTCATCATTTACAACCTGATGAACCTGTAAAATATTACAAGTATTTAATTTTTGTAAACAACAGCGAGACAATGACAATACGTATTAATTAATATTATGTATGTATGATGTACACTTATATATTTTGTATTGTATTATAATTTTATAGATTTACATACCTTGGCAATAGTTGGAGGGTCCTTCTCATAAAAGAATTGGTGAACTTTACGACGTATCGCCGAAAAGTCAAAATCATCCATTTTATCTTTGAATGTCAGTTTGGGTCCTGATTTTTTCCGATATGATAACTGAACGTTCTCCTTTTGTTCTTTTAGTATCCGATATACAGATCTAGTCGAAATTCCCAAAATTTGAGATAGGTACCGTCTTCACACACTCATCTTTCTTTGGAACATCAAAAGGTTTTGCTGCATTTTGATTCCATACATAATTATATGCATTGAGAACCATTTGTTTCTCACTCACAACAAATGATAGACGCTTTCTTTTTGGAGGGAGACATCCCTCTTTAGAGGTGGACGGTTGGGGATCCATCTCAAACACCAACGTAACAAAACAAAAACTTAACGTTAACAAAAACAACAAACGTAACAAAACTCAACAAAAATATAACAAGTTAACAAGTAAGAAATAAACAAGAAATTGCAGAGGACACTAAACACTTCTGACACCGTTGGAATTCGGGAGCAGAATGAAACACAAAATGGCGTCCATAGCGTGACAAGTGATGACCATAGTGCTTCAAATAACCAAAAATTCACCGAGTCAACACAATATACAGGGTGAAATTGAATGTTTCAATGAAACTTCGTGGGATTATTGGGTTACGTATATAGAGCATCTCTGAATTTTTTCGGATTTTTTAAAAATGATTTAAAATAAAATTTCGTTTTTTTTTGTTATATTTTAATCTCCTTTTGGGTACTAAATAATTATTCTTTTTAAACACTCATACAGAGTAAGTAAAAAACAACTAATTAGCACTACTAAAAAAACGTAAAAACAGAAGACGAGCGGTCGGGAGCAATGACCGCTCCCGCCGTTGAATCGGTTGAATACCTATACCTATGCGCGGTGCAAAGCGCAGTGAGCGAACGCAGTGTCAAGTTTATCCACCGCGCGTGCGTATCTTTTAAATTTGGGACAAGAGAAGATTTGCAAATAATGCCATGATTAGTTCTTGTTCTGTGGCCTCAATATAAGAAGTTGGATATGGTGTGTTGTTATTGTAGTGTCACGGTATACTCAGCAGAGCCACAAGGCTTTACGAAAGTAGGTTTGGTGATTGATTGTGTTTACAAAGTGTATACGGGAAGTTTAAGTGAAAAAAATGAATAGGTACATCGGTCTCGTAAGTACTTTTGAATACCGGGTTATAAATTTCACCCAAGTATTGAACTGCAATAAGTACTTCTTTTTGTTTAACATTTGCCTATTTCTAATCGTGACAAAATTATTATTAACTTTTAAAGTTTTTCTCCGCTTAAGAGAAGATGACATTTGTGCTTATTATTTCAATAAAGGCATCTAAGACGACTTTATTGTATTGTGTGGAATCAAAGGAGTCAACTGAACTCTGTGTAGAGGTACGTACTCACTCAACGGCTGGCGGGCGCGGTCGGTCGTTGACCCGCCGTGGAATTTTAATGTTTTTCCATTTTTTTGAAGTACTTATTTATTAGTTATTTTTCACTGGATATGTAAGTTTGTTTGTTTAAAATGAATAACTACTCAAAAGGAGGAAATGACATAAAAATACACAAATTATAAATAAAAACATGAAAAAAAAATACTTCAAAAAAATCCGAAAAAAATCAGGCATACTCTTTTCACGTAACCCAACAATCTCACGAAGTTTCATTAAAACATTCAATTTCACCCTATATTTAACTTAATACAACGGTGTTTTATGTTATATCAAATAAATTACTTACTGTGTATGTGTTCTGTTTAATTACCGTAAATTACGTTTTTTTTATTTATATATTTTATAAATGCAATTTGATATTGAATAAAAATAAAAAAGTTTCACTTCAAAAATGTAATCTCGACTAACTTTTAATTGTAAAAACTCGATTCTACCCATCACTATTTATTTGGGACAAAATACCTGAAACATTGGGAATGTCATTTTACTGACTGAAATTAATAATCGTACTTTAGACAAACTGTAATACATAGATGAATGATTAGTCTCGCTTCACTGGACTAGATACCGCGTTGTCAACAAACAAAAGCTCCTTAAATGCGGCAACTCATTGTAGTGTGTGTATGTCAATTTGCAATGATGCTACCAAATGTCATAGATCGTGTAGCCAGCTGCTCAACTGCTACCCAAGTAATAGGGAAAATATTGTATGTTATAATTAATATGTACCTGGTTATAAATGTAGCTCATAAAATACTTGAAGAAGATGTACTTAATTAAATGTGAATATATCAATATTTTTGTGTGCTTATATAATTAGGCGTAGGTTTCTTCTTTAAAAAAAATGGTTGCCTGTAAAGTCGGTTTTACGGGCGAAGATTTTACGTGACAACGTCTTTTTCTCGGTAGAATATTTATTGATATGAATATAATTAAATTGCACAATAGGAACAAGGAATTGAATGAAAATAAGAATTGCACAAATTTTAACTATAGAAATATATTTTGTTTACTAAAACATTGTACATGTAAACTTAAACTTAACACGAGAGACTCATCGTAACGTTACCGAGCGTTACACTTTTTCATAAGTGACTCCCAGCCGCAACCTAATTTAAGACGTTGTCACGTCAAAAGGCTTAGGCCTCAATTTTTTTTACATGTAATATTTACTTGTACATTATTACAGTGATTCAAGTGAGTCAAGTGATAAGTTGGTCACTATAAACGAGACATTATTGTAACTCGGTAAGGAAGCTGAGTGTGTAATGATCAATGCACACGAGCTGCATACGACGTTTTTCAACACAATTGCGACGAAAAAACAAACTTGTAGTTAGTAACTGTTATAATCTTTCAACTGACCTTTGCAGATTTATTGCCAAGTATTTTAACATTACGGAGCTACCTTCAAACACTTTTCAAAATCGGTTAGTACCTTACCCTAATCGCTTTCAGGGTTTTATTTGGCAGGATTTCATCGAGTGCGGTTGGCGTATTATTTTAATTATTCTTAAATTAGTTCATAGTGGATATTGTGAAATAAAATTGGTGTGATTTTGTGTTACAACCGTCAGCGCAACTGAAGAATTAGTGGAGTCTTTAAAATATACGCTATTTCGGTCAAGTGGCTTTGAGAACTGTATTGTAGTGTTGACTACCTCACAGAAGCTTATTGGAAAAGCCAGCTCGATAAATTTCGTGCCAAACACTCCAAGTAACATTAGAATGAGTCACATCCACATTCTAATGTAAAAAAAAGAATAAATAAAATAATTCCCTTTGCCTTCCCTTGATAGGGAGAATCTTCAAAAAAAAAGTTTGGTTGTGTCAAATTCAAAACTGTCAAATTATGAATAAAACTTTCTTTGTTTAGAAATAAGTTATTTTGTCGTGTTTTGTAATGTAATTGGGCGAGTGCTGAAAATTCATGCAGTGACTTACATTTAAATTTGATAAGGAACAAAAATTTATTCTACTTTATTTTATGGAGTTGGTTAGACAAGTCAAAATTTTGATTAAATAAACCATGTCGTCGTCATTAGAAGAAAGCCCTATTATAAATTCTGATATTGAAAATGATGTTACAAGCAGCCACAGAAATCTGGTTGAAAACGAAAGAGGTATGTTACAAGCGTGTTGGTAAAATTCAATTTAACTAATTTGACCACTGTTTCTTAACCTGTGTAACTACCTACTTAATATCTTTGCATCCTAGACTAGGAAACTAGGTCTGAACATAAAATAGATGTCATATAATAATCATATTACAACAACTATTTTAATTGATATATTTAAAGTTTGTCAGTAGTAAAAGGCCTAGGTTAAAATTACAAAAACAAATTTTTGTGAGGCCTTTTGCCTTAAATTATATTGCAGTTGTATTGTATTGTTACGAGCCTTGTGATCTCTAGAGTACTTTGTTGTAATTTTTGACATTTGTAATTTCTTTTATTATTAATTTAGATCACAGCCTTTTTTTTAGTTTAGCTTATATTACCCTACTTCTACCACTACTATTTTAAATGACTTAATATTCTTCTAAAAGATTGTAGAAACTCAAACTTTGTCCTTTTACATTTTCAGTTGAGCAGACCACAGGATGGATCAAAAGTCGAACAGTGCTTGGCATAATGGGATTTTTAGGTTTTGCTAATGTTTATGCAATGCGAGTAAACCTCTCAGTAGCTATAGTGGCTATGATCAACTCAACTACTCCTTTGCCATCTAATGATTCTACTCTTGACGTGTGTCCAGCTTCTAGTCCTAGCAATAATAGTGTACCTGCTGTAAGTATATATAGTATTACAAGTGTCAATATTAGCCTGATTCTCTCTAAATTTAACCATCATCATCTGTCTCTCCTTTTTATTCTGTGTGTGTGTAAAGTGGTAGTTGGTTACTGGCATCGACAAAACATTTAATTTAAAGCTTGTTTTATATTATAACATGAATGGATGTTTTTAATTTTGTATCTATCCCTGATGAATTTTTTAAATTTTTTTAATTGTGTTTATTACATCAATATTTTGAGGATGTTGACCACCCTATCATAAGTAAATAATGTCATATTTTTAGTGTGTGGCAGCTTATTACGTCAATTTAATCACTATGGCAAATGTCAATCAGTCCAGTCATGAATGTTAATCGTGAAATTGTCTTGAACTTATACTGATTTATGACTGATTCTCCATGAAATAAAATACCCACAAAATGCCTTATAATGTAATGAAAGATGAACAGAATAATTATCACTGCTGTAGGTACCTATTGAATGGAATATATTTGATGCTTTGGCAACAGAAAAAAAGATGAATAAACTTGCTACTTGCCAATCAATAGTTACATAATTTTATATTATATTGATTAAAAAAAGAGGGGATAAAATAAGTTAAATTCTAGTTCTTTGATCAATGATTTACAATTAGTGCACTACATCTCTTAAAAATGTGGAGTCTGCTGGAGACTGATTACCACCCTTCATACAAATTTGAACTGCTTCATTTAATTTGAAGATAAGAATATTATGCCACATTAAATTTTAAAAATAATTGTTAAATCTTAAATTCTTGACATTTATATTCCCATCTCATTTTTTTATTATTAGACTCATAATATTAAATTTAAATTTAATTTGATTTAATTTAAAATTACCCTCAGGGCTCTATTTAAAAATGTGGAGCCACAGGCTACTTACGATTTGCACCTCCCTAGATTTAGTGAAGTAAATCAAAATATGTATAGGTTAGCAATGAATGTCTGTATATGGATTTTGCCAACACACACAGCTCTTGCAGCTGCCCTTTGCAACCTGCCGCCCTGGGCCATGTCCATGCCCTCAGGTAAATACGCCCCTGATTATACTATCAAAGTCACTCCATGAAAAATATAATATTTTAAAGCAATCCTATAGCAATATACTAAATGAACTCTGCATATCAGGTCACTTATAAATAAATCACATTTTTTCAGAAACCAGGTGAATTTAATTGGACAGCTGAACAACAAAGCATTATATTGGGTTCCTTCTTCTATGGCTATGTGTTAACACAGGTAAACATCCTGGTAAACATCTTGAGCATATACCAATGGTAACTAAGATTGTACAGTAGCAATTTGACTTACAATGTCTGTGGTTTTACTCAAAATGTTTGTGGCTACTACAAAATTTTATTTGCAACAAAGGTTTTTATTTCAATGTACCTCATGGATGCTGAATTTATTTTATTTTGAACCAGGTTCCAGGAGGCAGAATAGCAGAAATATTTGGTGGAAAGCTTGTATATGGTGTTGGAGTATTATTAACAGCTATATTCACAATCCTAAGTCCAATTGCAGCTTATGTAGACTTCAAGTTCTTCATAGTTGTGAGAGTGCTAGAGGGATTGGGTGAAGGTGTGACATACCCCGCCATGCATGCTATGTTGGCAAGATGGATTCCCCCCATGGAGAGATCAAAATTTGCAGCCTATGTGTATGCAGGCAAGTAATATTAGGTCCTATAAACTCTAAATGGTATGATTAGTCTTTTTCCTAAAATTATATCTTTAAAATTGGTTTTGGTTTCCTAAAAACAGGTTCTAATATTGGGACAGTTATATCATTGCCCATATCAGGTTGGTTGTGTACCTTGGATTATGCAGGAGGATGGCCCTTATGTTTCTACTTGTTTGGAGGGATTGGTGTGATTTGGTTCATAGCATGGATGTTTTTGGTTTATGACTCACCACAAAAGCATCCCAGAGTATGCCCCAAAGAGGTTGAATATATTACATCAACTATTGGTCCACAGGTACTTATTTTAATACTGCTGCACTCAAGCGTTACTGTGATTACTTTGAGGCTAAGCTATTTGGTGTGAGTGTAAGAAATACTTATTTATATAATATGTATTTAATTTTAGGAGGACAAACCAAATATGTCAATACCCTGGTGCAAGTTTCTCAAGTGTGTGCCTTTATGGGCGATTCTTATAGCGCAATGCGGCCAGTCGTGGCTGTTCTATACACAGCTGACAGAGCTGCCTACATATATGAACAACATCTTGCATTTTGATATAGTCTCTGTAAGTATTTCCTTAAAAAAAAATGTTTGGCTGAAGAGACCAATTTGAATTTATGGTTTAATAAGTATAAAGTATATAAAATTATTATAAATATAGGTAAGGTAATTTAAAATTTATATTACTTAAGCTTTTCTGTTTTCAGAATGCTCGGTTATCTGCTCTTCCATATTTGACTTCATGGGTGGCAGGAATATTGATAAGTATTTTTGCTGATTGGATACTATCAAAGGGTTGGATATCACGCCTTAACAGTATGAAATTGTGGAATACAGTAGGTAGGTATTTATAAAGGTTATAATATAAAACTGTGTCACATAAGGTACAGTGAATAAATAACTCTTTAATATATTAGTATCAAGCTTATCCCTGCACATATGTGCATGGTTTTTATATTTATTAAAATTAGTGGTTGCCTTGTGGTCAAGATTCATTAAATTCATAACTATGAATGTTATTTAGTTTCTTCTGTCAAAGACTTGGACATGATTCTTTATTCACCGCGTGTAATTTTATTAAATTATTTTCTTATTAAATGTGTCATTAGTAAGTATGTTCCACGCATGTGCCCAATTGGACATAGACTGACAGAGCGGGAAAGTTACATATTGCAACTCCTTTCCTGGCCGCTTCCGTGCCAGGAAAGGAGTTGCAATATGTAACTTTCTCTATGTCTATTACTCGCGAGAACTGGAATATTCCGAAAACAGTTTAATGTAATAGCGCCCCGCCCTCGCCGCGCTACGCTGTCGATTACACGTCATACATATAGAATACTTAATATAATGATGTTTAATAGCGGCGTCGGTGCCGGCGTTCGGGTTGCTGGGTATCGCGTGGGCGGGCTGCGACCGCACCGCCGTCATGTTACTGTTGAGCATAACCTCTGCATTCGGCGGCGCCGTCTACGCCGGTGAGTTGACGCTGACCATTATACTCGTACGTCGGGGCAAGGCAGCGCGTGGGCTATGACCTATGCGCGTGGGTTATTATTGAGCATCACCTCTGAATTCGGCGGCGCCGTGTACGCCGGTGAGTGGACGCTGACCATTATACGTCGGGGCAGATCGGGGTGAGGCACCGCGTGGGTTAAAACCGCACCGCCGTTATGTTATTTCGCCGGTGAGTGGACGCTGACCATTACACGTCGGGGCAGGTCGGGGCGAGGCAACACGTGGGCTATGACCTATGCGCGTGGGTTATTATTGAGCATCACCTCTGAGTTCGACGGCGCCGTGTACGTCGGTGAGTGGACGCTGACCATTACACGTCGGGGCAGGTCGGGGCGAGGCAGCGCCTGGACTACGACCGCACCGCCATCATGTTATTGTTGAGCATCACCTCTGAGTACGGCGGCGCCGTGTACGCCGGTGAGTGGACGCTGACCATTATACGTCGGGGCAGGTAGGGGAGAGGCAGTGCGTGGGCTACGACCGCACCACCGTCATGTTATTTGAAGGCAGGTGCCTTATGTTCGAAGTAGCTTACTTAAAACTTATAAATTGTGAAACAGGCCCCTTATTAAAAAAATACAGTAAATAAAGATATTTTTCCCGGTACACAGGCAACCAAATGAATCACATGGACCTGTCGCCTCAGTTTGCTGGCACCATGTATGGAATCACAAACGCCGCCAGCAATATATGCGGATTCATGGCGCCATACGTCATAGGTCACATTATAAGCGATGAACAGGTTAGTGGCCAAAATATTTATTTTTTATTTTGTCGGCTTACTCCAAGAACTTATATTGAAGTGACCCAAATTAAATGACGAGAAAATTATATTAGGTATGGGGATTAAATAATTGACTATTCATCGTTGGATTTGGGTCACTTAATGAGTTCTTGCAATATACCGCTGATTTACTCCAATGACATAAGCTAAAATCCTCCGAAGACAAGACACCTCCAAGTACGTTTCATGAAGAAATATCAAACTTAATACTTTAAATTCAAGTTTCCAATAATACAGTTAGATTTGGACAGTCATGATTATAGCCTGCGCAGAGAGAGACGAGAGACAATTGTCCGCGGACTTTTTGGTCCGCCAAAAAAGATGGCTACTGACAATTACATTGGGTAACGCACACGACCTATTAAAAATCTCGCGTACAAAAAGTCCTCCGAACATCCGAGGACCATAGACATATTATCAAATGGACGGAGCATTTCACAATAATGTGTGGCTATTTTTCTTACTGTGTCGCTGTCAATGATATGGGTGTGTCTAGAGAAGGGACCAAAAATTCATATTGTGTTTTCAGTTATCGATATGAAAATGAATTAGTTTTCAATTAGGCGTCAACTCGTGATTATGTATTACCCAGATAAAAGATTTACTTCAAATACATTTCGAAATGTAATATAAAGCAACACATTAATACAATATATACTTATTTTCATTATATATTTTAAATATGAAACTATTCTCACAATGCATTTTAATTTTTTTGAAAATATGTAGGTACATATTCAATATTTAATGTATGTAGGTACATACATTAAATAAATTTGATTGTCTCTTGATTATCAAATAGGTATTCGAATATGAGGATCTCGATTGCTCAAGCGGTAAGCGTTTAGGTCTGCGATCGTAGAAGTTTCTTAACTTCCCCTATCGCAGACCGAAGCTGCTATTTGGTTATGATCAAATCGTCTTTCTCATGGGATAAGTGACCAAAAATGAATTATCTGCTGCCCCTCCGTACTTCGAAAGGCATGTTAAGTTGTTTGTTCAGCATACATCCGCAGTTTTTAGCACCCACCAATCTGCACTGGGCCCGCATAGTAAGTCATGGCCCAATCTCCCTATGCCATCCATTAATAGGCTGATAATGATGATGAATTCAAAGGAGGTATTACTTTACTACTCACTTTCATCTAACTACATTTTTTGCGAACAAAATGCTTATATTGCAAATCTTACTGTTGTCGTGCCTCGTTGCATATTATCAAATTATAAGACCTTTTTGATTTGATCTTAGACTTTAGTGTATAAAAAAATAAAAATGTAATTACTAGCACCGACTTCTAATATTTTTTCTTTAATTGATGCTTTGAAGTCATTTGTATTTATAAAAACAAATTATTTAGATATTATTTATTAACTTTAACAAAAGGTGTAATTCAGAAACAGGGTGAAATAGAACTTATAAAAACAATTATACGCTATTGATATTCTTGTCGTAATGCATCCGTTTTGAGTATTTTTTCATTAGTAAGCATGATGTCTGAAAATATTACGAACAAAGTTGGGAATATATCGTAGGGTCCTAGTCCCTAGATATCAAATTAACAGCTTTGATTTGCTCACATCTCATATCGGCATCTTGAGAAACTTAAACATATTTTATACATATTAAACAAAAAATCTATAGACTTAAACATCTAGTAGTTCAATGTTTAAAATAAAAATATACCTACTACTGTTAATATTGTTATCGATAAAAGTATGTAAAATAAGAGTACAGCCCTAAAATATATTATTTTTCAATGTCAATTTTGTATACAATTTAATTGGTATATTATATATTTAATACAATTGTGCCATTATTTTTTTATATTATTTTTCAATGTAAACTTTGTATACAATTTAATTGGTATATTATATATTTAATACAATTGTGTCATTACTTTTTTATATTATTTTTCAATGTCAATTTTGTATAAAATTTAATTGGTATATTATATTGTCACAAGCGCTCTCGAAACGTAACCGCGAAAGTGCCAGAGATCGAATTTGCCAGATCACCGCTGGTCGCGATAGAGGTCGAGTAATGCGGCTCATTCTGAAATGAGCCTTATGCAGTGCGACGTTAGGAAGAAAGTGCAACGACATCTGCACTTGTTTACAAGTTATGCGTGTTACCTGCGTAGGTATAAGTAGGTATTTCGTACTCGCGGGTGCTAGGTAATTCTCAATTTAACAGGTACTTTCTAGAATGCGTCGATCGGTGTATATAAGCGCGATTGGCGCCGCGCAGGGACAGTTGAGTTTCAACAGAGATTTCGGAGCGAATCCAAACATATTACTCGGACACTCGTAGGACATAATTTTACATCGATACTCAGCATTGTCATACACGTTAACAGCGGCAACTGTTTTTTCACACATAGGTATACTCTACAGGTTCGATAAAGATGCATGGAAAACAGTTCCATCCGTCATTCAGGCTGTTAAACTTCTGGCTCCGTCCATTGGATACTATGTCTATGCCGAGGACACTGAACGCGGGAGTCTCCGAAAATAATAGAACTAATGTCACAAGGCGCAGCAACGCAGAGAGTGAACTTTATTCCGCGTTGCGCGCTCGATCCGATTTAAAAATATGGACCCACTGTTCACTTTTTAACGTCTTCACTTTTTCTTAAAAGTCACACAATGTAACCTGAGAATATTTACATGCGCTTTTCTAAATTTTCGGACGACAAATCGCACCTTGATAAGAAGAGTGACACTAACCAAAAAAGCTATTTTTTTTCAGTAGAAGCATTTAAAGTTTTACCAAACAGTAATTACGAACTTTGCACCAGAAAGAATAAAAAATCAATATCATGTTATTATTTCTATTGCAGAGAGCATTAAACACGATTGCAAAAGTCGTAATTACTGTTTGGTAAAACTTAAAATGCTTTTACTGAAAAAATAGTATTTTTGGATAGTGTCACTCTTCTTATCAATGTGCGAAATGTACGCACATCGTGTTCGTTGAGTCCGTGGCGAGTCCGCGGCAGACATTTTTTTCACGATTTATCCTTCGTGGACAAATTTTTTTGTATGCGCAGGCAGTTAAAAGGCTTTCTCTATTTTGTCACTGTCCATACACGGGGGTGTAACTCAGTGGTAGAGTGTCTGCTTCGCATGCTGAAAGTCCTGGGTTCAAATCCCAGCACCTCCAAAGTAGTATTTTTAGGTTTTTAAATGTTTATTTATTTTTTTAAAGTTTTATAATTTGAATTTGTATTTATTTATCACATTCTCAACTTGGTTTTACTAAATTCATTTTTTTTTATTTCCAGCAAACTTTAGGTCAATGGCGTGTCGTGTTTTATTTAGCTGCGGCCATCGATTTGGCCGCAAATTTGTTCTATTTGTTCTTCGCAAGCACAGAGGAACAGGTAATTTTTTTTTACATTTTGAGCAGGTGAAAATTTTGTATCTCTGAAAACTTGAAAGAAATGAGTTTTTAAAAATTTTTTTTTTGGTTTTGTGATTTTATATGCATAGATTATAAATATAACTTCTCCTGCGCACTAAAAAAACGAATTTAAATAAAGAATTACGCGAGTCATACATAACTTCACTGACACCTTGCGGGGTTAGCAGAGGTTCTAAGACTCGTAACATTTAGCGGTAGATTTGTTGAAATTTTTTTCACACTATTATAAAGGCGAAAGTCTGTGAGCGTGTATGTTTGTTACTTCTTCACTTCATCTTCGGCTGGAGCGATTTTAATAAAATTTGCCATGGAGTTAGCTGACACTCTGGATTAACATATAGGCTACCTTTTTACTGCGGGAAAATATCCTTAATAAAGCGCGGGGTACAGCGAGTTAAGAAATAAAAGTGACTAGTCGCCAGCCTATCGCTGACAAGTTCGGACTTTATATGAAATACAAATAAAAAAAATAAAAACATAACAGTATTTGCATATATTTGAGTGTTTATGTAGCTAGCTATCCGTGAGAGTAATTATTGTGAAATTTTGATAAACTCGGTATGGTGTAAATATGATAGATCAGTGGTAAGAGCAGTCGCCCGAGAAACGGTACTTGCTGGGTTCGAATCCTGATGGAAACACTAGAAAGGATTAATTCTGGGGCTATTTGATTTTTTTTAGTATTTCCATCCGTCTAGTACTCTACTGCAAAACTTAGTTATAAATATAGGTCTATCTGTGAAAACCTGTGATTGGCTTACTGCTTTATATTTTTAATATTTTTTATGTATTAATAGTTGTTGGTTCTCCTACGATAAATAAATAAATAGGTATTTGATAAATAAAATTGCTTGCCAAGACTGTCTGGGATAAAAAGAACGTAACTAAAAACACTTATTTCCAACTGTTTAATATTTGCATAAGTGACCTTAAAATTTATTGTAGATCCTTATAACTGATTCTTTAAATTAAGTAATAAAGCTATTTATTTTGTCAAAACAGCTCGAGTCAACTAACATGATGATGCCCAACCACAAATTTTGACAGCTCCGTAATCGTATTGTCATCGTCAAATTTTATATGGAACGAGTCACTTCATTCTTACGTCCGGCAAGGGCGCTGCTTAGTTTTCATAGAAACTGACGATGCGCTACGACTACGGAGCTGTCAAAATTCGTGCTTGAGCCTCTGATACACTTATACAAATCACGACACGGAGACCTTTATTTCTTTCGATTGCAAAACAAATATACGTCCTTTTTTCTACATCCAACTTAATCATCCTTCAAGACAGTCATGGCAGGTAATATGTTATGTGATTGAAAAAAAAAACTGACGGTATTTGTAAGCCCTATAGTGCTTACTTTGGGGCTAGGCTAATTGGTGTGAATGTTGGAAATATTTTTTTATTTTGTTTCCCCGGTAACAAGGATTGGTCGCGAGTGGAGGAGGACGATACACCTGATGCCCCCTGTTCCTCCTGGGAGAGCATCATGTACCCCGACTCGTAGGCAAGGGCCTGTACACACCACCACATATGTACCGCCAGTTTATAACAATAGTAGACAGTATAAGTGCAACACTATTAGTGTCTACTGCCGGTCGTCAGTTAGGTATGTATAAGGTTACCCTTTAGGAATTTCAAAAGTCCTGACAAAAATCCTGACATTTCGAAAAAAGTCCGGACTTTTTAGTCACAAAGTGGTACCATTTTACTCACTTAATTACAATGGTATCGTATTTAAGTAAATATGTAAATTTATTATTCATATACAATGTAATTAAAAAAATTTAGAGATCCGGACAAAGTCCGGACTATAGTCCAAAAGTCCGGATATGTCCGGAGTAATCCGGACGGATGGTAACCCTAAGTATGGGACACTATGGAGATTGTTAACGACACCGGCGCTAGCGGCGGTTTGAGGTTGGTATAATCGTACAAACCATGAGCGTGAACAAGCTAAGCCGGCACGGGTCCACGTAGAAACCGTGCCTAGGCCCGGCGGAAAACAGGTAGTTTAGTACGAGTTTAAGACCCATTTGCAGAAATTTTGCAAAATCTCAATTTAATGAAAACTAGATTTAGCCCATACAATGATGTCAAATTGACTTTGACGTTTTGTCATTTTTATATGGATGGAATCTAGTTTTGATAGAATAGAGGTTTCTCAACTTCGCTGAAAGTGGGTCCAAATCTTTAACTAAGTCACTTCTACGTCGTCAACACCAGTGTGGAATACGTGTCTATCCCTCGTTTACACCAAGAAAGAACAGTTTTACCTACTTATTAATAATAGAAGAAGAAGCTTCGATTAGTGACTCCATGTTTTGTCTCTGTTCATTGAATTACAAATGATGTTTGAGTGATTTGAACAAAATACGGCGTAAAAAGCTTATTGCTCGTTTCATAACAAGGGGGAGACTGGTCAAAAAGTATCGCAAATGTTGTTTTTTTTTTCATAAAATTCTTATTCGTACCAGTGAAAACAGGGAGTCAACACCAGTGTCCGTGGAGCAAAATCGAATTTCCTTTTACAGAACTTTAGTCATAAAATTATAGAGCGAGTTTTAAGGGTCTCTACATTCCACTATACCGCTAGGACTCGCAGTCCCCGCATATAAACCAATACAATATAATGCAAGTATTTTGGCAAGAATAAATAAGAAACGACAGGCCTATTTTATCTAACTTGCAACTGATCTGCAACCGATCGCTACAGAAACGCTTAACGAAACTAGACTTAAATACTCTTTATTACCGTTGTAAACCACGACAAATACTGTAATTTGATGGCGTTTTATACAAAAAAATCGGAATTATTTAAATTAATCGGAAACTTCAGTTGCTTATAATATTAACTCGAATTACACGCTATTAACTTTGAATATGCCTACAAAAATACTTGATTATATTTCTAATTTTGTGAGACCAGTAGTGTTAGTTATAATACCATTTGATTTCATTAATATTATTTATTGTTGCTGATAGTGGTATATATAATAGATAGATGCCCATTATTGGGGTTAATTATAAATATTGTGTTTTTATACATAATAAATCATTGTATTTATGGTCTCAAATATGATAACCATTTCCAAATAATTGATTGATGTTAGTACTATAATTATGGTAAAAATATAAGCCATTGTGATACATTTATTAGTTTTATAGTAACAAATAACATCATGTATGTTATGTAAAATATATCACGATATTGGTTCTGTATGGTATTTAAATATTTATGGTCCCCATAAATGTATGTAAATAACTAGATACTTTGATTACAAAAATTATATCAAAATTGTCATAATTATTACGTGTTATTGCTCATCTTATAATTGATAGTTAAACATTGTATAATATTATAGCAAAACGGTGCTGTAAATGTCTACATTAATACTGTTTAATGATCGCCAAAGATGTCGATTTTTTGTCATTATGGTATACTTTGATTTTAAGGAAATTCCACAATGGAATTTACGCTCATTGAATTAGGGTTTAAAATTAATGTTTTTTTTTTATTTCCGCGGTCTGTGGTGTTGCGGAAGCACACCAAGCAATCTGTATATGGAAGAATTTTCTGCACGGGCGTTTTTATAACGTGGTACATTTTAGGCTTGGGTGGTTATATATAAAGTTGTGTCTTCCAAAGCACGGAGGAGCTCGAGTAAATAAGTTTTTAGTCATCCCATCCAATGACCAACCATTACAAAAATGGCTTAAGTTCCACGATTGCAAACCAAATGCGCTAACCACTGTGCCATCAGACACAGAAAAGCCCTCGCGTAACGAGGTTTAAATAAAATGTAGTCAAAACTTATTTGAGGCTATCAATTCTGATGCTCAATGGAATAACTGCGGTTATTTATTTCTGTGTGTTATTTTGGGGGAGGCCTATGTCCAGCAGTGGGCGTCATACGGCTGATATGATGATGATGATGATGTGTGTTATTTTGAGAAAGACCAACGATGTGCAATGAATTTTACTGTACAGTATTTGCTGTTTTACTATATTTTTCAGGTTTACAAATAATAAGTTGTACATTGAATTGTTTCCTTTGTTGCCGTGCACACAATTGATTTTATGGAACATCTCTTGATGACAGAATTTCATGCAATTTCATTCAATTCGTGGCAGAATGTATGCAATAAGTATTGTTTAGCAGTACTTGTTTGAGGAATGATAATATGAATAGACACGTAAAATTAAATTTAACTCTCTTAAAAACACTTGTTTTGTAACGGTCGTACTCAGAGACCTTAATTATCTTTTAAGTTTGAAGCTGTCACTTTTTATGCATAAACAATAGACAACACGTCTCTTAATCAAGACTTCATAAATAAATTAATGTCTCTGAGTCAATTAAATATTAATAGTTATTTAACTTATCTTATACTGTACATTTAATCTGATATATTTACTTAATTACAAAATCAGCTGAAGCTGGCCAACTACTAGTAAGTAGGTAAATAAGGTAACATATAGCTACTTAATTCTTAAAATTTACTTTATTCTTAAATACGCTTTTTCATTAAATCAATATTCAAAAGATTTTGTGTCGAATTTTAAGATACATTATTCTATTAAAATTATTGTTGCAGCTAGTAATCTGACTTGACAGGACAATAAAAAATCAAGTTACGCTAAACTGTTTTCGACCTTGTTTAGTTACATGTTTTTTTATAAATATTTTTTGTCATTATCATATTGTTATGATTGGTCTATAGTCCTATACGATTATCGATTGTAATATTTAATGAATGAATCGTAAGACAATAAAATTAAACAATCGTTTTCATAATGGAATTGATACTTTTCTTACAAGTAGGATTTAATTTTTGAATGTATTTTCGCACCTGGTAAAGGCAGATACTTTGTATCAACCAAAGCTTAGATGGTCATATAATTAATTACAACTAGGTAAACTCATATACAGCGATCTTAAGCGTATTTTTTAAAATTACAATAAAATTATGTAAACGGTAACGTTTTAATTTCATTGCTTGATTAGACTTACTGCATTTGTATCTTACTGTTATTGTACATCAGTATTCGCATGTGATTTGTTAAAATATTCCATATTTTAGTGCATTGTTATATTATTACGAAAAACAAATTGTTAGTTCATTTTATTATTTAAATATCTTATGCCAATATTTGTCTCGTCTTATTCGCAACGCAAGCACTTACATGTCTGTTTATATTTGCTATTTGTTGCTTTGACAACAGTATATCCTTATCATGCTCTATAGGGAATGAAAAGAAGAGGATTTATCAAAATTACAAACAGCATATACGAATACGTGATCTGCCAGCATATAAAGATACCAAGATTCTTACATAATAACTACAACAAGCTGAGGTTTCTTGTAAGAGTATTCATTCCATACGATTCTGAATTCATTAAACAGTAACGCGTAAAATTGGATATAGTGAGCCCTATTCTCATTGCAGTAAGGGCTATATTTAATTTCATTTATTACTTTACTTGTAACAAGGTTATTTTACAATGAATGGCAGAATAAACATGTAGATAGGTACGTTGAACACGCGACATCCCGTGGGGCATTGCAAAAAATTACCAGTGGTACACATATATGGCAAATATTAAATTAAAATAACAAAAAATTAACAACAAAACTAAAAGTATAATCACTATCTTTTTGTTTTCTTATATTTTACTTGCGCTCGTGACTAAAAAAAGATCCCCAATGATTCTTAATTACTAGCAACGTATTCTTTTATTATAGTCATCTCAAAAGAGAAGGTTGTATCAGAAGAGACCATGCTCTTTTAAATTGAATTCTTTATTTTTATGCGACTATTTGCTTTCATAATACAAAATATATCTTATTATAATTATTTAAGTCCACGTGTTTAGAAAAGATAGGCAAAGACAACTTAATTGGTATCGAATCTCCATAGTATTTCGATTTGCTTATATTAATCTAGATAATATTTTGCTAAGCTTAATGAGCATAACTGCCATTGGCAGAGCTTAATATTTGCTGTGATTACCTATTATTTCGTAAGAATTATTGTAAACAATATAAATCTATAAGCATATTTTAAGTGTATTACCAAAATGATATATTTTTGTAGAGACATGAAATAAAGCATTGTATATTACTAGTTATTTTTATTATTTATTACCATCCCCTCAAAACTGCTAGGTAATCAAAATACATACTACTTAATTTCAGAAATCCCAAGTAGGTAGCCTGGTGGTGGTTATTAGTAAAGGTAGCAGCAAACTTCTTGACACAGACTACTTAAATACTTCTTGAGCAAAAGAACAGACAAATAAACTTGAGCATTAGACGATTTTGTATGTAAAATTGCTACTGCGCAGGATACCTTGGTTATGATCGATGCTCAAGAAGTTTACCGGAGTGTAAAGTAGATAGTAGATTTTATATATTTATTTTCAAAGAAACCAGTGTATAGTAGTTTTTATATATTAAACGTAGATAGTAGATTTTTATGCTGAGCCTTTATAGAAAGTATGTGTAAAATAATTCAATTTTTGGAAATTAGAGAGAGAAGTTATATTTATTCAAATCACCTAATTTAAAGCCAGGGATATCATTTAATTTTATAACGCTACTCGGTACCTACCTACTACTTAGGTCCCTATTTAAATTCTGTCAAAAGCTCAAACTCTTCGGTGCTCAACTCAAAGTTCCATGCAATGGGTACTTTTTTGTGGGTTCTAAGTCCGGTTATTTCGAAGCGAGAAAATTATAACTTGCGGACAAAATATGAGGGTTGGGATGAATTTCGCCGCCAATCTTTACACTATCTGTGAAGCGGTGAAGCCCTTGGCGACTGTAATTGCGGCGTGAACCTCCGCGCGCCAATGCTAATATTTGTTTTCACCCCGAAGTGTGTTTTTTGTTACACAGGACGTAACGTTTATCGTGTAACGAGGTGTGGTTGCCGTATAATTATGACAGCCCTCAATTTTCACGTGCATGTTTACCAGCATAGTCCAAGGTTTACAGCAAAAAACTGCAGGTGTACAAATCTCCTGATGCCGTAATCATGGTCGCTATGTCATTAAGTGATCATTAGAATTTAAGTGATTTTTGGCGATTCGATTATGCTGACCAGTTTTGAGAAAAAGCACATACTTAAATACTATATGAAGACAGTTTGATATTTGGGGCGGGTCGAATTTTCTGTGCAGGTAAAAATCTATCGGTAACGGTAAGTGCTTCAATAAAATAGTAGATTGTTTACTAAGGGAGCAAAGAACTATTTTAATTGTTTATATAACCAAATAAAATCCGAATTTGAGTAATTTAATATTTTATGAAGGAAGCGGAATATATTCTATGTTTAAATCTAAAGAAAAGTTTACTAGAAAAAAATCCACGCGGACCAGGCAGCGGACGGGACTCGAACCCGCACCCTTCGCTATCCGGGCGAATGCACTGACCATTATGCTGCCACGGCCCTATTTGTCAAATGAATACTTTTTCAGGTATTAAACATTTGAAAGAAGAAATAGCAATTATAGTTATGTTTTTATTTTTATTGAAGTTAAACTTCTTTAGCCCCGTTATGAAAAAAATATGAGAGTGAAATTTTAAGATGCGCGCGCATCACTGTAACACAAAAGTAACATAATGAAGTTGGCCGCGGGCGCGTTATGAATGTTAGTGTCTAATAATGGTGGATTATTAACCACTTAGTGGTTAATAATCCACCATTATTAGACATCTGTTCGAAAGGTACTTTGAACGATCCACGGAGCTCCATAAGATGATCGCGTTGTCAAAAACAATGTTGGCACGCTCGTCGCCTCTGATCACTGTTTTCATATTTATAATATTTATCCACATGTTTCTAGTTTCTATATAGACACAACGTGTTTTAGTTACTTACAAGTGCTAATTACATATGGACTAATAACTTAAATTCAGTAGTGATTTTAATTGAATATTTTGAATATTTATTTAATTTTTCAAATTAAAACTGAACTTAATTGACTGTGTAAACTATCCTTTTCCAGTCCTTTTATTATTTTATTGTAATTATTAATTATTTGCATGCAATTAAAAAATATTTTTAATGATGCTAAAGAAGTCTAACTTCTCACGCGCGTACATAAGTTACACGCATCCATTTTTTTTAAGCATTTAACTGCTAGATGTTTAAATCTAAAGAAAAGTTTACTAGAAAAAAATCCACGCGGACCAGGCAGCGGACGGGACTCGAACCCACACCCTTCGCTATCCGGGCGAATGCACTGACCATTATGCTACCACGGCCCTATTCGCCGCGTCGAAATTTTCCTAGCCTTAAGCTGCAAGGCAGCGCCATCTCTTCGCATTGTAGGTAATCCACAATGTCAAATGAATACTTTTTCAAGTATTAAACATTAGAAAGAAGAAATAGCAATTATAGTAATTATAGAATGCTATTTTAGTCCCAGTAAACAGAGACACTAGCTCTTTTCGAATAAACGTGATAAAAATAATATCAAAATTTTACTAAATATATATTGGATACCACTACTTGATAACTTATGATTTAACTGATATGTAATATCCACCACCAAAGCTCAAAACAGTTCCAGACTAGAATGACGCTACCCCCGTCATGTGAAGAGTTTAAATAAAGTATTGTAGATATTTAGATCGATATAGTTGTTGTTACAGAACGAGGGATTGCGAGGCTTAGTAAATGCAGAGGCAGTAAAACAAAATTCCACACAACTCTTGCAATAAATGACGGCCATCATATTATTTACCCACAACAAAAAAGCAAGTTTAAAAAGTCCATAAAACACATAAAAGCTTCTCCGACGTTGCTTGCTTGTTGTAATTTTTTAGAATACAGAAAAGAGTTTAATACAATGGCGAACCTCTGTCATTAGCGAACCCTTGCAGTTACAACTGTTAACAAAAGTATTTTCTCTGGCCAGTATTTGCCAAACATGACTGTGCTTTTGTCGGTTTATGAGCAACCCATCGATTTGAGCGAAGGTTAACCGCCCGTCGCCGTCGCACCGAACAGTCGTGGTCAGTGATAAAAATTAAGAAAAAATTAGGAAAAAAAATATTACCGCCAAAGGCATAGCGCGGCGCGGACAGCTAACAATGCTAACGGCCAGTTTTATTGCGGGCGGTTGTTTAATATTTGTCTGCAGTTGTAAAACAGATATTTGCGTTTTGCTTGCATCGAAAGAAATAACGGTTCATAAATGAAAATAATTTTAACCTAAGTTTCTGACGGGCATGTTTAAGGTTTAAGGTCTCAGTTACAAAACAGTCTATAATCGTCTGAGTAAGAGGTAAGTTCAGTCAAATATGAAAAGTAAAACCGACTTCATAAGAGTTTAGAGTATGTTCCTTCTAAAACATTAAGGAGACGCAAACATAATGTAGCTCTGACTACGGCTGTTAGAACAATGTATGCAAGGAGGCAGTATATGGCACGATCAGGACATCTCTATACTAAAATCAACACAATTCTAAGTATATACTCAATGAACAAATTCAATTGCAAAATAACTGTATCATCACTACTAAATACTTGGAATTATGATAAAACTGAGACATTTCTGGAGGGCTAGGTGTTTGGATATATGTTTATATGAACATTATTATCTTTTGCATTATGGTGTTTTATAAGTATCTCAGTAGAACCACTTTCAACAATACACTCTTTGTTCAGACACAAATACACGCGCACACACACGTACACATACAGTCATACACCCACATACAAGCATGCATACGCACAGACAAACATATCGACTTAAAGAAATATTGTAAAAAAAAATGTTTTTGGAGTTTACTCCTTAAGAATCGATTTGCATATATAAGGGCCCCGGTATGAGAAAAATGTGAGGAGTAAAATCTATCGATGAATGACCTCGTTACGTTTTTGGTGCGCATCCTATGTCGCGCAAATTTGACAAACAAAGATGACGGATTGACATTAATATTTTTTTTTAAATCTGAACTGAATTTAGATATTGTTTCTGATAGAGCAATGGGGACAACGAGGTATGGTACAACCATTGATGCGGTATTTTCAAGATTCGTGAACCACGTATCTACGAACGTCCATGTGTCTTATTTTAGTTACCATAAACCACTTGTCACTGCAATTAATAATGCAGACAATATTGATTTAATTAATATTTTAAAAAATGATAATAGTCTGATAATAATAATTACATAATTTATCAACATTCCTAATGATATATTTATGCACATCTGAAATTGACTATTGTAAAAAGTTTAATGTAAAATATTTCGTCGATTAGTTATAATAAATGTATATGAAATGAATAAATATATATTTATATATGTATATTATTTTCATTAATTTGTTAATTTACTCTTTCATACAGTATCAATCTTTTTTAAGTTAAATAAACTCTTTTTGCGTCTGGTTAGACTATCGAACCTAAGGAGTAAACTCCAGTCGTGCGTCGGAGCTGACACACACAATTTTTTTTTGCTACATTTAGAGTTCATTATTATTAAAATATTAAGGTGATCAATAATTCAATGTACCATGTCTTTTAGCACGGAGAGTTCTAATACAAGTATATATTTACTTAAAAGAAATTCCCAATCGCAATACAGTATAGGAAATTATTGTATCAAATAAACATTTTGTATTTGTTCTATAAACAAATAAAACATTAAAATAGGTACCTAAAATCAAAATCAATATTCATTTATTCAGTTCAGGCTTTTACAAGCACATGTGAAAGTCGAAAGCTACGCCATCGGTTCGCAAATCTACGTCTCTCCCGACATGTACTGAGGAGAACCGGCAAGAAACTCAGCAAGGGCTGCTATTTTCTAAGTGTATTATTTCATACAGTGTTGTATAATTTAAAGGCTGACGTCAAACTTATAAACATGTATTGAGGTCAACTTCCATCACATAATGTAAAAAAGTTAACAATAATTATACAAAAGCCCTGAAATATCCTGTAAATAAAACACCAATACCTTGACCCATAAATCATACATGACCTTTATGTAATCTGTACAATGGTAACTTAAGTTCGTTTTTATTCCTTATTTTAGCGAGATTAGCGCGTTCAATCAAATATTCTTATTCAAGTCAAGAGTACTTATTCAAGACCATTCCCAAGTTTCATACCATTC